CCCCTGCCGGCCTCCAAGGTGCTTGGTTTTCTTTAGGCTACATGCCAACTGTGTCACACCTCTGGAGGAAGGATGGGGAGTGGGGAAAAACGGCAAAACTCTTGAGAGGGTGCCACACTGCGTGCCACAGGACTCAGCCCTGCGTCCTGTCGTGAGTGCATGCCTGGGCTCCAGCCACAGAAGCCCCGAGCCAGCCCTCAGCCATTGGAAGAAAAATCACCCCTGATAAAGAAATGCTGCCGCCCCAAATCAGTGAGAGACGGATTTATTCATTTCCCTGACATTTTAATGGTTTCTCCCCTTTTTGCAGGAAGATGATTACAAATTAAGCAGCATTTAAACGCTTTTTACTGTCAACAATTAAAAGGGGTGAAGGCGGGCGAGCAATTCATTCCCCGGGAAACGCGCTGGCTCTCGGCGGGCGCCGAGGGCCCGTCCCTCTACTGTACACAGCACAATGGCCCCGAGCACGCCATTAATTTTGCAGGACGTTCAAAAGCAAATTAAAATATAAAAAGCCCCTGGGCACAAAGATAGATACCGAGGGAGGGGGCGGCGTAGGTCAAGCTCGCAGAATTGAAGTCTTAGCAACTGGGAAGGTTTAGGCACAGCCCTGCACGCTGCGTTCAGCTGCCACCTCTGCCCACCATCCCCAGTTTCTGTGTCCCTGCCAGAGCCAGTGCTGTGCCAGCAGTTGAAAGCCACCAGTGGGGCAGCTGTTAGCACTGCCACAGGGTTCCAAGGTGGAAGCTGGAGCGATTTGGGCGTTAGACGCTCTCTTGGTAAGCGTGCTGGCCACATCTCGCAGGGTCTTTGGGTCAAAGTGGTCCCAAAACTGATTTTTAGTGGGGGATGCTTGATGGAGGGAGGGAAAACCCTATGGCTGCAAGGCCGGAGATGCACATCCCTGCTCTCCAGCAGCTCGGTCCCAAAGCAGCGCAGCCGGCAGGGACGTGATGACGAGCAGGACGTGTCACACACATACCGTGTGACAGCGCGCCCCGTCCGTCCGAGCCACGGCGAGGGATGCTGCAGCGCCGCCCCCACCGCCGCCTCTGCGGAGCAGGAATCCGGCTAAAAACCGGCGTGGCTCGGCTCAGGGAGACACGGCGGGGTGGGTCTGCCTCGCACCGGGCCCTGGTGGAGTTTATGGATGCGGGAGGTGCACTGCAGGAGAAAGGCGACACGTCCCCTTTAAAAGGAAATATAATTTACAGTGTGCAGCCAGGCGGGCCATAGTTTCAATCTCGTTTACTATAGAGAAAACTCTGCTAGCTGTTCTCTATCCCACAAATCCGATTTAATCAGACAAGCCAGCCAGCGTGGCTTGAAGTAAAAACGGATAATTAGTAAACAGAGAGCTACTTCAGTGCTTCATTGGCATTCGAGCCGGGCTAGTGTGTCGCATTTAAAATGCAGTCTGATGAAGTTTACAAAATCAAACCATTTGTTACTCCTATTGAAGAGGCTTCAGGCCACTTGCAATTAAATTGGAATTAGTGCTTAGAATGAGATACAGCAAATTCATACTAAAAAGGGATCTGACTTTCAGACATTTGACTTCAAGTTTTTCCCCCCATGCTGGAGCACGCGTGCGTGTGCTGGCCCCCCAGAGCCCCTGGCAGCAGTGCCAAGCCCAGACCTGCTGTGTGCCTGGGAATGGGGTGACTCGGGGATGCTGTGGCAGCAGCGCAGGGGGGACAAAGGGAGTGATGCCACCATGCTGGTGAAGCCATCATCCCCACTGAGCCCCAGCAGGGTGGCAGCGCGGGGCTGGCAGTCCCCAGGCTCGTGGCACCAACATCGAGACTGCAAACCAAACTGCCCCTCCCTGAGTCCTCTTCATAACGCTGCCATCTTTCCCTGCCTGCCCTCAGACCCATGTTATCAGACTTGAAAAATGAGCAGATCCATCCACTGCTGAAATAATCAGGAGCACGGAATGAAAGGCTGTGGAGGGGCACACTGGGAAGGCTCTAGCATTATCACGGGCATGAGCATGCTCGTGTCTAAGGATGCTGACAGAGCCTGTTGCTGCCTCATGCACCCTGAAACCTCCAAACCCGCACCTCAGGTCCTATAATTCAGGATCTTCCACAAGGCTCCCTCCGTCACTGTTCATGCTTAACATCATACCTCACATGGTTCATGTGCCAGAGGTGACCTGACACTGCTGCTGTCCTTACAACAAAGGTGAGCAGCTCCAAAACATCCTGGCCATGCAAAGCAGGAGCCCAAAGGCTGTTGGCACTCGTGAGATGAGATTTCAGGGACATCTGATGGTTTTTGTCAGCATGTCAAAGGCTCTCTACCAGCCCCTACCTCCCAGCCAACGCTGCTGGCTGCTGCTGCAGGGGAGCTGCAGGAACAGCAGCACTGGGGACGAGGGTGCCACTGGCAGTGGGGGCCACAGAGGGGCACAGAACCCTCCCCCCAGCCCTGCCCACAGGAATGCTGGCAGAGGCAACAGGGCTGCAAGGGGCCCATTGCCTGGAGCATCCTCTCACAGCTCCAGCACCCAAGCTCAGGCAGAGCTGGCCTGAAGGACAGCCTGAAGGTGCCCAGCTCAGCTTTCCACAAGGGACCCTGGGAACACGGTGCACATCCTGCTGTCACTGAGTTGAAAAGCAGGCACAGCACAGGCCTAGGTAGCACCAGCACTGAGGCTGCAGGACTCATGGGATGTTGCCCCAGGATGATGGTGGATTCATGTGCAGGGTAAGAAAATCAGCCCAGTTTTGGATTCTGTTTTCAGGATG